ATAACCCTTTGTGCCTGATCTGTGAGCCATTAATCACCCATCACATGATGTGTTTATCCAGCTGTGGGATGAATATTTTGTCCAGAAGAATCCTGGGAAAGACAGTATGGAAAGCTTTGCTGAAATACAGAAAGATTATATCAACTGTCTTCCTTTGATCAACCAGGTGGGTTATGTCGCTGTAAAAGGAAATCAGGTTTAGCAAGGACTTTCTCCTCATAAACCTGAGCTGGCTGTGGCCAGTGTGTCCTCCAGGTGTTTTTCAATACCTCCCAGAACTGTCTTCTCCATAATTTTACTAGTTACTGAAGTGAGACTGGCAGGCCTATTGTTTGCAGGGTCATCCTTCTTGCTGTTCTTGAAAACTGGGACAGTCACCAGCTTCCAGTCATCTGGGACATTACCATATTCCCAAGACTGCTCAAAAATCATCAAGAGAGGTTTTGCCATGATATCAGCAGCTCAATGACTACTTTTTAATTAATTCCATCAGGCTCCATAGACCTATAGGGATCAAGCTGGAACAGCACATCCTATGCAAGTTCAGGAACAACTGGGAGCTGATCATTCTCTTTTCCATGGTGCTCTAGCTCAGGGCCCTGGGACCCCTTAACTTGTCATCTGTACTGAAGATGGAAGAGAAGAAAGCATTGAACACCTCTGTTTTGTCCATGTCCCTGTTTCTGAAGTGACTATCCTCATCAGTGGACTCATGTTATTTCTGGACCACCTTTTGCTATTAACATACTTAATAAAACCTCTTTTTATTGTCCCCCACTGAGGAAATGCCCTCTTTTTTGGTAGAAGCTTGCAAAGGACGTCCTTACTTAGTCAAGCTGACCTTCTGCTTCATCTGCTTGACTTATGGCATTCTGGAACTGTCTGCTTCTGTGATCCTGGGAGGTGGTGCATGAAAACTGGCCAGCACTGATGGACCTGAGCAGCTTCAAAGGTGTTTTCCCAGGGAACCTGACTGAGTACTTCTCTGATCAGCCTGATGTGTGCTCTTCTCATGTCCAGGGCTGAAGCTTTGCTGGCACCTTTCCTCCCCTCAACAAAGATTTTAAAATGTCTTTGGCACATAGCATCTTGTAATGCTGCATGGAACACTGACCAGTTTGATGGAAAAGCACGACTGTTTGGAGCCACGAGGTAACACTGGAAGCAACTTAGTCAAGGATATCAGGGAAATCAAATCTAAGCTCAGAGGAAAAGAAAACTAGATACAATCACTTGAATGCAAAGAACAAGGGGGCAACCAAAATTCAGATTTCGCTGTGTGAGCCTCAGCCATCACAGGAAGCCACAGGACTGTTGCAGGTAGGTTTTTCCATCTCGAAGTGCTACAGGCTGGGGGGAAAGTGACTCAGTGGATAATGACCTCGGGGTGCTGGTCAACAGTGGCTGAACATGAACCCAGGTGTGCCCAGGTGGCCAATAAAGCCAATGGCACCTGGGCTGTGCCAGCTGTGGTGTGGCAGCAGGAGCAGGGCAGTGCCCGTCCCTGTGCTGGCCATGCTGAGCCCACACCTTGAGTCCTATATCCAGTTCTGGATTACTAACTTCAGGAAAGATGATGAGGTGCTGGAGAAAGTCCAGAGAACGGCAATGGAGCTGGGGAAGGGTGGGGAGCAAAAGTCTGATAAGGAGCAGCTGAGGGAGCTCGAGAGGCTCAGATATCTCTCACCCTCCACAATTCCTTGGCAGGAAGGGGCAGCCGGGTGGGGATCGGGCTCTGCTCCCAGGGAACAAGGGTCAGGATGAGAGGACAAAGCCTCAGGTTGCACCAGGGGAGGTTTAGGTCGGATATCAGGAAGAATTCTTCACAGAACGGCGGATTGCACATTGGACTGGGCTGCCCAGTCACTGTCCCTGGAGGTGTTTGAGGAGAGACCGGAACGCACTCGGCGCTGTGGTCAGGGTGACAAGGTGTGTCACAGGTCACACTCGATGATCTCAGAGCCGTTTCCAGCCTGGCTGGTTCCCCGCGCCCGGCGGGGCCGCTCCCGCAGCACGTGTGCGGAGCACGACGGCGGCGGGGCGGGGAGGAGCGGCACCGGCCCCGCCGGGCACCGGGAACAGCGCCTTGCGAGGGGGGCCGGGAGCGGGAGAGGGAGCGGAGCCGGGGGTAGGGTCAGGAGTGGGAGCGGAAGCGGAGCCGAGAGTGGGGTCAGGAGTGGGAACGGGAGCGGGAGCGGAGCCGGGAGTGGGGTCAGGAGTGGGAGCGGGAGCGGAGCCGGGAGTGGGGTCAGGAGTGGAAGTGGGAGCGGGAGGCGGGATGGGGAGCGGGAGCGGAGCCGGGAGTGGGGTCAGGAGTGGGGTCAGGAGCGGGAGGCGGGACTGGGAGCGGAGCCGAGAGTGGGGTCAGGAGTGGGAGCGGGAGCGGAGCCGGGAGTGGGGTCAGGAGTGGGAGCGGGAGGCGGGACTGGGAGCGGGAGCGGAGCCGGGAGTGGGGTCAGGAGTGGGAGCGGAGCCGAGAGAGGGGTCAGGACTGGGAGCGGGAGCGGAGCCGAGAGTGGGGTCAGGAGTGGGAGCGGAGCCGGGAGTAGGGTCAGGAATGGGAGCGGGAGTGGGAGCGGAGCCGGGGGTAGGGTCAAGAGTGGGAGCGGGAGAGAGCCGGGAGTGGGGTCAGGAGTGGGAGCGGGAGAGGGAGCGGGAGCGGAGCCGGGAGTGGGGTCAGGAGCGGGAGGCGGGACGGGGAGCGGGAGCGGAGCCGGGAGTGGGGTCAGGAGTAGGAACGGGAGGCGGGACGGGGAGTGGGAGCGGGAGCGGGAGCCGAGAGTGGGGTCAGGAGTGGGAGCGGGAGCGGAGCAGGGAGTAGGGTCAGGAGCGGGAGCGGGAGGCGGGACGGGGAGCGGGAGCGGAGCAGGGAGTGGGGTCAGGAGTGGGAGCGGGAGGCGGGACGGGGAGCGGGAGCGGGAGCGGGAGCCGAGAGTGGGGTCAGGAGCGGGAGCGGGAGCGGAGCCGAGAGTGGGGTCAGGAGCGGGAGCGGGAGGCGGGACGGGGAACGGGAGCGGGAGCGGAGCCGGGAGTGGGGTCAGGAGCGGGAGCGGGAGTGGGAGGCGGGACTGGGAGCGGGAGCGGAGCAGGGAGTGGGGTCAGGAGTGGGAACGGGAGCGGGAGCGCGCCGCGCCCCGGCAGCGGCGGGCGCGCGCCACCTGCCGGCGGGAGCGCGGAGGCCGCGCGGCCACGTGGCGCCGCCCGGGCCGGAGCGCGCCCCCGCGCCCGCCCCTGCGCGCCCCCGCGGCACCACAGCATCAGGGATGCTGGAAAAGGCCTCTGAGAGCATCCAGGGCAGGCGGTGAGCCGACACCGCCCGGTCCGGCACTGAGTGCCACATCCAGCTGCTCCCTGAGCGCCTCCAGGTGACTCCACCGCCTCCCTGGCAGCCCATTCCAATGCCGGGCAACCTTTTCTGTGAATAAATTATTCCTAATTCCTTGGTGCAGCTTGGAGCTTTGTCATCTTGCTCCGTAGGAGCAGAGCCTCCCCCGGCTGTCCCCTCCTGTCAGAGAGTTGTGCAGAGACACAGGGTCCCCCCCGAGCCTCCTTTTCTCCAGGCTTAGGTCACCTTACTCCTTCAGCCACTTCTCATCGGATTTGTGCTCCAGACCCTTCTCCAGCTCCGTTCCCTTCTCTGGACTCACTCCGGCCCCTCAGTGTCCATTTGAATTGAGGGTTCAGACCTGGACACAGCACTTGAGGTGTGGCCTCAGCAGCTCTGAGTACAGGGGGAAGAATCACTTCCCTGGTCCTGCATTATTTCTGACACACAACACTGAAAATCTCTTGGATGTTCTCAACCCCCTTCTCTTTTGGCCCTCAGGCATCATCACTATCCCTTCACAGGAGCACCCTGACCCCAGAAACATATCCCCACCTCCCCAGCTGTCACCCCTGGAGTCTCCCCTTTGTTCCCATCCCAAAACTTCAAACCCAAGCTGTGTTCTCCATCTCTGTGGCAGCCCAACAGCATGAGCTTTCATGTGTGATGGGCTTTCCATTTTTCCAGCCTGCCTCTTCTGACATCAAAACTCACAGAATTACAGAAGTGTTAGTGTTGGGAGGGACCTCTCTGGAGATCATCCATCCAACCCCCTTTGCCAAGGCAGGGCCACCTGGAGCAGGTGCCACAGGAACATGTCCAGTTGGGGTTGGAATCTCTCCAGAAAGAGAGAGACTCCATGATCCCCTTGGGCCCCCTGTTCCAGTGTTCTACCACCCTCAATGGAAAGTTCTTCTTCATCTCGAGTTGGTTTAATTCTTGGCCATCACTCCTTGTCCTGTTGCTGAAAACCATCAAATGCCATCTGGGACCATTCTCTTGGTACTCACCTTGGATCTAATTATCTGCACTAACAAGATCCCCTCTCAGTCTTCTCCAGACTAAACAGGCCCAGCTCCCTCAGTCCCTGAACCATCTTCGTGGGCCTCCACTGGACTTTCTCCAGTAGTTCATTTTTCTTGTCCTGAGGAGCCCAGAAGTGGACACAGCACTCTGGTGCACTGTCAGCACTTCGCACTGTCAGCCCAATTTAGCCCAGTTATCCAAAAGAATGTGTGCGGTGCCACGTAGGGTGATCAAAATCTTTGGAGCTTTTCTGCTCTGCCCAGGATAGCTTCACACATGGAGTCCTTCATTCCAGCACCCACAATCAGGCTAGCATGGGTCCAGAGACCAAGGTGGCACCAGCTGAACGCCAGACACTTTGGTTTGATTTGGTTTGGGTCTGTTTTTTGTATGTGTTTGTCTTTCAGAAGTAACAGCTCTGAGCTTCAGAATAATTACAAGCCCTGAAGCCATCCATGGGTACAACAAGGTTTTGTGGCAGATCATTCACCATCCAGAAAAGAGTTTTTTTGGGGGCAGGAGAGTGTGCAAAATTCAACAAAACAAATCATGTAAAATGAAGCCACAGTAAACAGTGTGAGAGTAGACAGCTAAGTAGGTTATTCACCACTAACTCTACTGCCAGTTGTTAGAGGGACATAAACAAAGCCAGTTTTTTAGATTTAATCCAGAACCATTGAAGAAATAGAGAATTGACAGAGAAGCATGAGTGCTGCAGAGACTCACTTAAATCAGGACAACACTTGCATCCATCAACAATCAACTGCCCTGTTAGAGCATATCAAGAGATAATGGGGAAGTAATGTCTGATAGTATGCATCTTTTTGAGATGCTTATTCCATTGTTTCTTTTCAAAGTTCTGTACCATGCCATGAAATACCTCGGTGCAGATTTACAAAGATTTATGTAAACAGCTCTGCAACACTTGCAGTGAGGAGCTGATAAACCACCTGTACCTGATTCCTCTCTGGGCATGGCAGAACAGATGGGTCCCTTTGATGCTCAGTTCAAGATGATTCCCTAAGGACAGCAGCAGCACAGGCAAGACATTCCAATATTGTCCTCCATCTTCCACATCCTCCAAGATTTCTGGTGGAGGTACAGCCATCAGCCACTATAAATAACAAAAATTTGTCAAGAGTCTTGTTGCATGAGTCTAGAATAAAGCTGTAAATGCATGAAGGTACTGCACCAGGTACATGCAGGTTTGTATCTTTAGAATTTTTACAGCATGTGTTCTGGAAAAATAGGACAGAAAAAGGCTCCCTCAGTTCCCACACAGAGTCCATATTAAGGTAGGTAACTATGTCTTTTGGTTCCCTTCATAAACATTTCGAGCTCCACCTTAAACTGACTTAATTTTCTCAGATTTATCATTTACATGGGTGAAGAGTGACCAAGCTACAAAACTGTGAATGTTGGTTTTTTTTTTATTATAGGGCAAGCACAGAGAAAAGTGAATGAAAATTAATATTTTTAAAACAGACAACCTAACTGAAGTAATTCTGGCAGCACCTTTTTTAATTTCTTTTGAACAATAACCCAGCCTATCCCCCCACAAGATCATGTCAGTAACCTACTGCAGGATTGATCTGGCCATCAGGTTGCCTGTAAACTCTTCTTCACCACTGATTAGGGCACATGCTGCTAGATGGAGTCCTTCCACTAGTTCCAGTAAATTTGACATCCATGCAGTTCTGAGAAACACTGAAAAACAACAGAGTACATGTGTGGACTACTGCAGCCATCAGGGGCACCAGGCGTTCATTAAGCTTGATGCTTCGAAGGTCATGAGTGAGCAGCATTGTGCATGCAGCCCACCTGCAATTCCAGTGCATTGTAATTCCTAAAAATCTTATTTGTGGATATATTGAAGTGACTACCTTCCATTTGTCAGCCAGTTAGCAGGAGTTTCAAATTGACTTGGAGGCAGGTAGATATTCATATCCACAGGGCACTGCTGGAAAAGGAGCTTCAGCCTGCACAAGCCCCCTTGGCTTCTGCTCTGGTGACTGAAGGACACGTGTCAGAGCCATCAGCAGCAAAGCAAATACTGACAGAGAAGCCAAAGTCTCAGATTTCCCAGGGAAATCTCCCAAGAGGAGCTCATTCCTCATGGCAGTAGCAGTGGATGGTATTTAAAGCTGACTGAAGCCACCAGTGGGGCAGGGGACACAGTGGGAGAGGAAGGTGTCAAAGATGTGCTACAAAGGGTAGAGAGATGGTGGGCAAAGACAGGGTGGGAAAAAGCACATGAATGCAAAAGTGGGTGTAAATGCTTAAAAAATCCCTAACAAGGGCATATTTTAAACATCTCAGTTTCACGTTTTTACCTACAAGTCTTGGTTAGGCAAACAAGTCTAACCCTGTAGCACACCACCACTACTCACCACATCAAGTACACACTTCTGTGCACAAAGGAAAAAGGATATCTGATTCTTATTGCCTGGGAAACGCTGTCAGCATCGTGCACAGTTCGGCCAAGTTTGTGGCAGACCTTGCAGCCCAGCAGCAGAATGCCAAAATACATGACCTAATGGGCTTTGCACTGCAGATGATCTCACCCTTTATTTGGTGATGAATACTTGCCATAAAGCATTTGCTGGGACAAAGAGAATAAAGCAAGAGTGGTATTCATGCTGTTTGCCAAGAAAAATACCAGGATATTTGTTTATGTAATTTGCCAAAAATACCAGGTATCACAATAAACAGGCACTAGGTCAAATTTGTCAGTTACTGGCACCACCTACCCAGCTGAGTGCAGCTGAAACCATCATTTGGTTCTCCATTTTAAATAATTCAGAGGCTTTGGCTTTTGAGCCAAATACTCATTTCATACATGTATATTATACATTGCTCCTACACACTGAGCTCTTGCAGCATACAACATGAAAAACCATCTCAAAGAGAACAGAACCAAAGCTTCCCTTAATTTAAGTTAACAAGAGGGGATCACCACTACCTAAAGTGAGTGTGTTCATGAACACATGCAATTCAAAGCAGTAGAAGGTTACTTTCACCCTTCCACCCTTCTCTGTTTTCTTTGGGATCACCCAGACCTGTCAGCTGAATTAGAAGTGAGCCTTATAACACAGACATATTTCAAGTTTGTTGGTTTACCTTTTTTTTTTTTTTCTCCCAAAGTGAGAAGAAAAACAATAGTTCTGGAAAATTTGTACAACATAATGCAAGCTTAAATATTTTTCTCCTTTTTACCTTTTTTTATTTTTAAAAGTCTAAAAAGAATCAATAGCAAGACAATTTCTGAGTAGCCTTGTACCTAGACTGAGATTTTGTGGCTGGACATTGCCTCCAAAAAACTCCAAGATTAAGTGCTACCCTACTTTTAGGAAAGATGTTTTAACATCCCAGCCTGGACTATGGAGTTGAAAATTACAAGGGGCAGGAGGAATGGGTAGTGTTAAAAATTGTAAGACCAATGCATTTCCAATTAAGTCTGGTAAAATAAGAAACAGTGAAGGTGAAATACCATTTGAGATAGAAAAGCAGAAGGAAATGAGAGAAAACCTGAATAAGCAATGAAATAATCACATCTGACACACAGCTGTATGCTGTTGAGAGTGAAATGGTTCAAAGGATCATATCTGAGCAGTAATGATCTAAGGTTCACTTCTGCTAAAGTCAGTGAAGACATTGCTGCTGACTTTACCAAGATAGGGATTAGACAGCTCACAGTTTGAAGGCCAAGTGCCAGACATCTTTAAACTGATAACCTCAGAAAAAGATCCCTCATCCATTTGAATCATCTTGAATTCAAGGACTTTGGATTAATTTTGCCAACCTGCTCCAGCTGGGATGCAGTCATCAGTGGATAAAATGACCATGGGAAAGTGTGCTGTAGGGAAAGAAATTCATGATGGAACACAGTTTTATTTGTACTTAGTTGAATATTTCTTACTAGTGCTGAGTATTATTTTCTCATACCGCAAATACGGTTATGAACAATGAGAAAAAAGAGCACTTGATCTGGTCATAAAAGCTGCTGAATTTCATATCAAAAAGAGCTTCAAGAGAGGCTCTGGACTCCAGATGAGCACTGTATGTGTGTGAGAAGGAATCCATTGTGTCCACTGAAGATCTGATCCTGAATTTAATCAGTTTCTCTTTGCAGCTGTGTGCCTTAAACACAGCACATAGCTTTGCCATCAGGCTGTCCTTTCCATCATGAACAACTCAGGCTTCCCTTGAATAAAATATTTGACCTTCAAGTCCTAAAATCCATTCCTCCTCCAGCTCCCTGTCATACATTTCCCAATGTTCATAAGCTATAAATAGAGATAGAGGGAGAGAAAAATAAAGACACTCATTCCCTTGAAACCTTTTTGGCCAGAAGAATTTTGCTGCAGGACACAATGGAAGCATGATAACTATTTTGCTTTTAAAAACATTTGAGTTGCTCCACCTAAGCAAGGCCAGCTGATGTCTAAGGCAGTCAGCTATTTTGGTACTGCCATGGAGTTGACCAAGGAGTTGCTGAAATACTAACTCCTTTTGACAGGAGCCCTGTAAGTCAACTCCAGACAATTACCTCTGGAACTTCCCAAAAGACAGACTTCAGCCATGGCAAATTTTATATACATCTGGGAAGGCAGAGAGAAGGCGACTGTTTATTGTATAATGTTGCCAGTTTCAGGGATGCACAGTGGTTACTGGAGACAGGCCATTTTCAGACCCAGACACTCACTGTCAGGAGGAGACTTGTGTTGAAAATGTGCTGGGGGGGATTGTTCCAAAGTCTCGATGCTTGCCCTGCAAAACGTCTCTGATCTCTTGCTATGCTGCAAACAGTTCTGATAGTGCAGGTTTCTGTTCTCCACCCAATTTCAGTGAAAGAAAAAGAACTTTGCACTGCATATATGGCTGGAGACAGGTTGACTGAATTTCAATTAGCAAAGCTGCTACGTGAAAAATAAATTGTAATTGGCAGGAAACTTAAATTATATGTGATTTACAGGTAATTTAAAATATATGAGTCTCAATTCTAATGCAAATCTCTTCTTTGAAAGGAGCGTTAAATAAACATGCAGATCAACTGCTAGATCTATTATTACTGTTTATGGTTTTCAGCTTAACTATTTTGTACTTATGTAACAACTTAAAAACATGCAGAAGGTGAAATACAAGGCTTTTGTTCCTCAAAAAAAGGACCTGCATCATGTTTGGTCATCATATTTTCCTACCATTGGAAAAGAAAAGAATAATCTGTCAGCTTTTGGACTGGGTCATCAGCCAGTTGGACTAGCACAGATCCTCCAAAGCAAATACTGTTTATTTGTTTTGGAAAACGAATTAAAAATTACTGTTCACTTTCACCAGAAGAAATAAAAAAACTCTACAGTGTATTAATATAGCCCATGGCCATTTCAGGCAGGTCAAAAAGCACCTTTTGGCTGGTGTGCTCCTGCTGCACACAGAAATTACTGGGGGAAAACCTCCCAGGATGCTTCTCACATTCTACCTTAAACCTGGAGTACTTCTCAAGGTTTAGAGTGAGGGTTCCCTCACTCTGTGGACAGACACCACCACCTGTTTGCAATGCCTTTTGCCACTGCTATGTGAACAGACAAGTTAAAAAGCTAAACCAAGCCCTCAGCTTCCAGGGCTGACAGGGATACCTTGATGCTGCTCAGAGTATATTACTTAATCAGGACTTCTGCCCATAAGCCAAGGTTGGAAATGACTGGACCAACACCTTTATTTTCAGAGCCTCGGGAACACCCTAGGAAAACCCTAGATGGTGGCAGAAAACAGAGAAATAAGGCAAAACAGGTGAGAATCTAGAAACAGTCCAAAACATTAAATTTTTTTCTACTATACTTTGAGCTATGAAAGTTAGAAGTCATCATCCAAGTCTGTGTGTGTAGGGCACAGGGATGCAGAACTCACAAAGAGAAACATTGTGCTCCAACCAGGTACCAAGAGTCTTCTTCCCCTTGAGGCATCAGGGTACTGGCACTACCAGAACCACAGAGAGAAGAATGGAGATTGTCCCCTCAAAGCTGAAGACATCAGTGCTGTTCTCTACCACCCCAAGCTCAGCATCTCCCCTCACAGGCCTTACACAGTTCATGTGTATGACCTGTCGTACCTCTCAGCAAAACCTACACCTTATTCATAACTTCAGCTCCTCAGGAATGCCACGAATGCCCCACTGTGGAAGTGAGCATTGGGAGACAAGTGTTGGCCACTGCAGGGGCTCCATGGACAACACTTCCCACTCTCTGGTCCACACAGCCTTAATTATGGACTACAAGTGCTGGTGTGCTGGGGTAACACCTTCCACACTGGGTCATTTACTCACTCTCGTGTCTCTTCCATCAGGATCTTGACCCCAACACACAAAACCTATATGATCCTACTCTACACAGTGATCTTCAGGTTCACATCTGTCCCAGTCAACATCAAGATGACCCCCTCCCTTCTTAAATAATATGTGTAACTCCCTTTGTGCCTTTCTTTCCTATTTTGCAGGGTGACACTCTTGCCTGCCACCCCACAGTTCTACATTGTTAGAGCTACCAAGATTGAGTGTCTCACAGGCAAAGTAATTTCATTCTTTTCAAAATAATTACAACATTGTTACTTTGTAATGTGAATGTCAAAGGAGATAAGAGAAAATAACCATGGGAAGGTGGAAATAACAATTTAATTCCGGAGGCAATTAAATATCTACTAGTCATAATGTGGACAAAGGGTTTGCTGTGACTCAACAAGTGACAGCTCATCAGCTCAGACACATTTAACTAGGAAGGTGCACATAAAAAAACAGAGGAGGTTAGTTTAATCTATTTTTTTTGGTTTTAAATACTATTTTCGATAATGACAGTGATCAGAGAGAAAGAGTAAAATGAGAACATTTGTATATATTGAAGGAAGTATTACGAACAGAGAAAATATAAAGAATGCACATCCCTTACAAAGAGGAATACTTTCTAAAGAAGTCTTAGGGCTGTAGCTTTGGTCCATGCCACTGAAAATTGTGGATGTCATTTCCCACTTGGAATGCTGCTTCTCCCTCCAAACCCTATGAGTATCACGACATTCCCAATAAAATGTAGCCAGGAATTACTATGGCAAGCACGCCCACAGAGGCTTGTAAACACATGCTGGAAAAGCCCTGACTAGAGTACTTACAAGATAGAATGCAACCACTCAAAGAAGATTTCATGGCTGAGAAAATAAAGGCTTTAAAATGTGCCCAAACATCATGTACAAAAGAGACTGTTATGGCTCTGCAGAACTGTTCCTCCACTTGCCCAAACTGTTTCTAAAAGCAGAGGCACATGCAAAGCCAGAACCAGCACCTCTTCCCACCTGATGGTGAGCCAAGGACAAGCAGTCCCACAGACAATATGCTCTGTGCTGGATCTCCAGGCCAAGATTATACAGCAGCTTTGGAAATTTACACACCCAAGGGGAATGAAACACTAAATGTGTTCAGAATCTTTCCAAGCATCCTCTGTTAAGTGCTAAGGCCAATGATTTAAATGGGCATAAATTGATCTAGAGCCTTCAATGCACTGCCACTGACTAAACACAGAGAGCCGGAAACAGGATCTGCATTTTCCAATCTTGCTACTTAAAATGCACCTTAAATGTTTTTGGAGTGCATGGGGACAATATTTTTGCTAGGGGAATGCCAGCATGGTTGGTAATGGTCATTCAGACTTCCTTGCAGTTGATCTGTAATTAATTTGGCAAAGAGTTCTGGCAGATGGCAGAAGTGTTCACATCAAGCTCTCTAGACAACAGCAGCATTCCGGCCATTTCACAGGTGATCTTGGAGTGCCTGACCCCCCTTCATTTTGCTAAACTGTCCTGAATTTATTTGCTGTTTTACAACATCTGCACATCCACCTGTCAGCCACAATAATGCAAGGCAAAGTAACCACAAGCAAATAAATGAGAGGTTTTCACTCTTTCAGAATCATTTAGGTTGGAAAAAAAACCTTTAAGATCATCAGGTCCAGTTGTATAGTCCAGCCTTCAGAGATATGGTAAACATTACAAGACAAATATAACAAAAGGTGGGGTGCTCTAAATTAGATCCAAGAGAGCAGTGCAGAGTGACCCATGGCTTTTCACTGTCCATATCCAGGCCAACCTTGTGTTCAGCTAGTGCTAAACACAGCTCCCAGCCATGTATCCAAGGCAGACCTTCAGCAAGTTTTACAGCTTTTCCTATCTCACAAGTCACAGCACTGAGAACCATCAGGTAACACCCTCAAGTAGGGCACCAAGCACAAAAGAGTAAGAAAATTTCTCTGCTGGTGTTCTTCCTGGTTGCTGGAGCAGAAGCTTAGCATTGTACCTGTGCCTGTTTCAACAATTCCTGCATTGCTTTTTTTTGAAGCATGTTTGTGTTTTCCATAACGCCAAGCACAAGCCAGATAAACAAAGTGGCTTTCCCCACTTGCTTGAGATGCTCCGTTCTTACAAAATTATGAGCTCAGTAACGTAAGTTCCTACCTTGTCACTTTTTTTTTTGGAAAATGTTAAGGTTCTTTTATAAGTTTTCTATGCCTTCTAATGTTTACATATTTCTACTGGAGTTTTCACACTGTTCATGTAAATAATGATTGTTTTGCATTCTTCTTTGGAGGAGGAGAGAATTGATAGACTGTTAGTTTGACTAGTGTGGTTGGAGAGTAGCAATTTGATCCTCCAATCCACTGTCACTTTTAGAATTCATATATTGTGAGGTCAGGAATAAACTTCCTCTTTTCTCTCTTTTGCATCTAGTGTAAATGTGTGAGTTATTTCGTGTCGTAGTGTGACACTAACTGTTTTTTTTTTAATCAATACCTATTATTAGTACTTATGTGATAGGCTTAAACAGGTACTTTTAGCATCAGCTTAACATTGGAAGGGGAAAAGGACGTGACTGCTGTAAGCAAAACTAAACCACTTTTTTTTTTACCGACTGAAGGTTCTTGAGGCTCTTCAACAGGAAACAATGTTTATTTTAATGTGGCTGACATGAGAAAATAACAAAATCTCTTTTATAACCAGAGTATAGAAGTAAAACTCTTATCTGCAACCTAAACAGCAAGCAAGTCATCAGTAATATTAGCATGTGACCACAACCTCATAGATAAGAATTTCCCTCCACCATCCAAGATTTCAAAATTCTGTATCATCACAGAAAATTTCCATACTATATGGGTCTTATAGAAAAATTTTGTCTTGGGGAGAAAAAAAAGTGGGAGCTTTTTACACACAGCAGATATTTGCTGAAACTTTTCATTAAATTCAGAGTCTGCTTTCTGAGTGAGATGACAGCTTCCAAGGAAATTTCTGTCAATACCTAAGCAAATGATTGAAAGTAGCTGAGGAAATTACTTTTTTTCCAAAAACTATTGATTTTAATGTTTGACCATTTCCCCATGATGAATTAAACAACAGTTTTTCATAAACAATAATACTTCTAATTAAAATATGGGGGGAAATAATTTCCCCCCCTGAAAAATAATTCCTTTTTAAACAAAATAGCTTTATTTGCTTTCTCTGTTTCTTGGACTTAAGACCAATATAATCTTCTTGGAAAAATATGTTTCCTTGCAGTCAAACCCATTTTCAGCTGAAAGAAAGACCTCAGACAAAGCAGCTGTGCTTAAAACTAATAATTAATGCATCTAAAATACCCTTTCATGTGGACTCCTGAAAGAATTCTACAAATAATGAACTGCACAGAGGCAAGAGAAGGACTTCTGTTTTATAAGAGAGGACACAGTAACAAAACAAGTGCCCACCTTTCAGAAGCAAATATGAACAGTGCTGCTGCAACACAGCCATGAGTCCAATAGCTTCTCCAGCCTAGGAGCCTTTTCTTTTCCTGGTAGGGAAGATGTTACAGTCATGGAAGGTGGGTTTTCTAGGGTGAAGCCCATCCTTTGTGCTCCAGATGTGCTGATCCCTGCCATTTCCCCAGAAAAACCTGTCAGCACCTTTCCCAGGGGCACAGGGTCTGCCAAGAGAATATTGGAGAACAGGTCAATGCATTTATATGGCCATAAACTAAAAGAGAAGTTTTTTCCACTCAACATGAGAAGAAATTTCTTTCCATTGAGGGTGGCAGAGCACTGGGACAGTTTTCCAGGGAGGGTGTGGAGTCTCCCTCTCTGGAGACACTCCCACCTGCTCCAGGTGACCCTGCTTTGGGAGGGGGTTGGAGTGGGTGATGTACGGAGTACCCTTCCAGCCCCAGCCACTCTGTGATTCTCTAAAAACACTCTCCTACCATCTGACAAAATTCTGGGAGGCCAGCCTGAGTCACAACTGGTATCTAACTGCTTTCCACTTCTTGCACTTCTACTGCAGGCAATGACTTCCACAGCCTAATTAGACATTGTGCACCTTAAATGGCATTTGTTTGTTTGTTTGTTTGTTTGCTCAGGGTCCATTACTTACCAGTTCCAGTTGAAATTGCTGTACTGTGTAAAAATCATTCCACATGCATCAGGGTCCAGTTGATTTTACAGACTTTGTGATGGGCCGTGTTCTCCTCTCCTGCTAGTCATGAGCCAGCAGTCAACCTACCGAGTCAGTCACTCCCTGTGCAAAAGCCAGTCCATAACTTTTATCAGTTTTCTTGTTCTTTCCTTTCAGGACAAAGAAGATCTAGTAGATTCACTGGTCTGATGCCCCTAGATGAACAGTAAGAAGCCCACACTATGGGTAGTTAAATTCTGTGTTGCCTGACGTGACTACTTTACTGCATGCCTAGAAGCTAGGATGCATTTTACCAGGAATATAATTTTCAATGCCCTCATTTTTTTTTCTGGCATTAATGAAGTGCTCAGACCCCACTCTTCTTCACATCATTTCACCCTGGGTAAAAAAAAATATTCAAAATCAGCACTGTTTAAAGGTATCACAAGCACATTCTCATTAGTAACTTGAAATGCCTGATCACATTCTTGTAGTTCATGCTGCAAATGTATCCCCAGGGGTCTTACCCAGCTTGACCTTCTTAATCATTGCTTTTCCTTGCAGCATTGATGCTCTGATTTCCTAGGCATCCATACAGACCAGGTATAGACTAAGAATGCAGCATGTCACCTCTCAGGTCAGCAACAATAAGGCTGCACCAGTGTTAGAACCATATTCCTACTTAATGTCTGACAGCAGTCTGGATTCCCTCCTCTTGCTATAACATGTAATAAGATGCTGCATAACATTCCCAGGAGCTACTTCAGTTTGTCCTGACTCCTTGTGTTCTTGCTTCAGCTTGGTCTGAATTAACCTTGTGCTCCAATTTGCATTTGAGGACAAGAACACCATCACAGTCATGCACAACTTGGAAACTTGGTTCCTGTGTATCCACACAGTGGATACTCTCAATAGCAATGCCCTAAGTTTGTTTCCTGAAAATTCACTGCTTTCCCAAAGTATTAGCAATAATTTTAATGGGAATTTGGTAAACTCTTTAGCATTTGGCATCTGTATCTGCTTACCTAATAGACACCAGCTTCGAAATTTTGGTTTTTTAACAGCCTTTGTGTTCCAGCTTCTAAACTCGGTTATGATCCAGTTCCTACCAAATTTACTCAAACAAAACTTCAGCTTGATATAAGCAAAAGATTTAGGTAAAGATAAGGGAAGGGAAAAAATCATCAACACATTTGATTTCTAAGGGACCATTCTTTTGGCAAGATAGTTCTAAGCATCAGCCAGCTACAGGACACCTGGACTGGAGAGATGGATTTAGAAGAATCCAAACTGATCCTAAACTTTTTAATCCATGATGTCCAGAATACATAAAAAGCACATGTGTACTTCTTGCAGAAGAAGATTCCCAAATTATTGGAACATTAGTTATTTCATTCCAGATTCCAACATGGCTTCAGTCCCAGCAGTTAAAAGTCTCAAGCAGAATGAGTGTGACTCCCAGAGAAGCATCTGAATGATCATACAGGAGAGTTTTATTTAACATTCACCTGCTATACTGAACCAAAGGTGATTAAAAATCCTTTGAGTAATTGGACTGTGGCCAAAGAACAAGCCCCAGCTGCCCAGAGAGATGGGCCTTGCTCCCAGCTTGAGAATTTCAAGTGAAGCACTCAGCCTCTCTCTCCGGCTGCTTTAAAGCCTCTAGGAGCTAGAAAGCAAACACCAGAGAACAACTGCCTCCTTTGCAGGAAAACAGCTCACTTTGGGACAGTCAGAACCAGACTTTGGTGCATGATGGGTGGCAGGTAAGTAAAAAGAGAAAAGTTTTCACACAAAGAACATTTGAACCACAGAAGTCACTCGTGATGAAGTAGTTGCCATGAAATTGCACCCTCTTCAATATAAAACTGATTTCTTCACCTTGGATCTTTCTGACATTCTGCTATGACAATAGAACCATATAAGTTTGTATTTTCATTTTCCTTGGTGTAATCTGCTTGTTAAGTGCATTAAAGGCATTCTGAAATTCCACTGAAAGACACTCAAAAATACTTCCACATAATTCCTAAACACCCCAGGACCATAAATGGGTATTATTTTCAGAAAACAGAATGTGTGGCAAAAAGCTTTAGATCAAAGTATCTTCCAGTAGTTTCATTCCAAATTTGGCCATGAAAAAGTCCAACTTAAAAACCAAACCCATCTAATCTAGCCTTGACATTCAACTGTCTGATAACAGTCTTCTTTTAAGGGGGAGGAGAAAATTTCACCAAACTAAAGGTGACTCTGGTTGAAATGACTATCACTAAAAATTTTTTTAATCTAATTTATTTTGGAAAAATGTGCCAGGGAGCTTGATAAAATTTCAGCAAAAGACAACAAAGTTGACACACGTTTCTTTCTTTTAGACATGTGTTTCTTCCTTTTTTGCCCTTTAGTTCCTTTTATAAGAACTATGTGACACTGGTAGTATCAGCTTCCAGGGTCAGTAAGGACTGCCTCAACCCTTCTGACAACATGCTTCAACATTGAAGAAATCTTTTTTTCACAGAATCAAAGAATCACAGAACAGTTTGGGTTGGAAGGGACTTTTAAAGGCCATCTAGTCCAACTCACATGCAATATGCAGGGACATTTTTGACTAGATCAGCACCTTATCCAACCTGATCTTGAAGATTCCAGGGATGGGGCACCTCTCTGGGCAACCCATTTCCAATTTTCCAATCTTGCTACTTACAATACAGTGCTACTTACAATTCAGTGTTTCACCACCCTCACCATAATTTTTTTACTAATATTATCGGATTTGACCTGTCTTGGTTTGGAAGGACCAAGTGTGTCTGCTAAGGAAGGCAGGAACCTCCCCTGAAATGGGGAAAAAAAAATGTAGACCTCCTCCCTCCAAATTGTAAATTTGAAATTAACAGGGGCTCTCAGGCAAAAATATGGGAGAAAGAATAACAGTTCTTTATTAGAGAAGAAAATCAAAAGAGAAAATGAACAATGCAGTGAACCAAAACATTGACAGAACCAGAATACAACCTGACACCCTGTTGGACAGGGGGTTGGCAGCAGTTTAATTGGGAATTATGGCTGCAATCCTCCTGGAATGTCAGGTGTGGTTCTGTGGGAGCAGTGATCCTGCATAAAAGGTGTAGTCTTCCTGCAGTGGAAGAGGCAGCTGCTCCTCTGGGAAATCCAGCGCAGGAAAACCTGTGCTGGTGTTCCAGTAACTCCAGGTTATATCCAGTTAGGAATGCTTGGCTCCTCTCTCTGGGCAGAGCATCTCACAGTGGGATGTTCTAGTTCTTATTGGTCATGCAGTGATATTCAATAGCCCATCATTATCATTATCAGCAGATGTCTCCCCTGAGAGAGATTGGTTGTGGAAGAGATAAGGAAAACTGCTCACTTTACAGAAGACAACTGCCATAGAGACGGCAAATGGAATACATCTTGCCTTGCAATCTGGGACATGACCCTTCTTCAGCTTAAAACCATTACCCCTTGTCCTGTCATTACAGCCCTCCTAAAATGTCTGTTCCCACCTTTCTTATACACCCCTTTTAGGTACTGGAAGGCTGCTATGAGGTCTCCCAGGAGCCTTTGGCCTTAATTGTCTCAGCCTGTCTCCACAGTAGAGGTGTTCCAGCCCTTTAATAATTTCTGTGGCTCATTCCAGCAGGTCCATGTCTTTCCTGCACTGGGGATGCCACAGGTACAGGTGGGGGTCTCACCTGAGCAGGGCAGAGGGACAGAATCCCTCCTCCCTTGCTGTCCACATTGTGGGATGAGCTCAGGACAGGTTTGGCTTTCTGGGCTGCCAGAGAACACGGCTGGGTCATGTCCAGCTTCTCACCCACCAGCAATTATCAACACCAGGGGTTGTGCAACCCAGCTGCAGGCTGCAGGTTGCTGTGCATAACTTATCACACCACATCACAGTAGTTTTTATTTGGGATGCCATTTTGATCACCACATTCTACTTCCTGACTGTAGATAAAGCCCACTGGCAGATCAGTGATCTTGCCTGAGAATATTAATGTATTTCTCTGTCAGCCTTCATATTGCTATCTATTCCTTGCTGAACAATTCCACACATTTCACAAAAGGCTTTTGATTGCTTAACAGAGCAGTTTTATCAGAACAAATGCAAATTACTATTTACAACACATTTTTGATTCTCATCTTGGCATCAAATGGTGTTTCTCTGTTGCTACTCATTTAAGACTTAAAAATGAGGATTCACCTTATAAATTAAGAGTATTCACTCTGAGTAAATCTTGCATTCACTGTCTAGACTGTTGGATGATGTTAGATTTCAGCATTCCCCTTATGCTGAGCAGATTCAGATTGTACAGAAGACAGATGTTTGGAATTCTTGAACAACTGTGTCTTGCCTAACAATACACTGAAGAATCACGTTTTAGATGAGGTACTACTTGTGTGACACCTTCCCATCTCCACTTTTTTCCAATAAAATGAAATGGAGAAAAAACAGAAGAGGAAAGCAAATAGCATTTATTGTCTAAAGAAACATCAGTTCTGTTCCTGAAGCAAATTTTAAGATATTCCTTTCTACAGAAGCTGGATGTATTAGTAGAAATTACTCAGAACAGCAATTGGTTTAACCAGGAATATGCCCTTCTAGCCCAAGACTTGAGCTGATAAAGCAATTTCTGAACTACTTCGTTTATATTGGCACAAGGTAGCAGCTTCTAATTTTACCAGGTTAATGACAAAATTAGATTCAGGCAAGTAGCTCATGTGTGCAGCTGTGCTGAATCTGACATGCCTTACCAGAACAGTTATAAGAAGTTAACAAAATTCTCACACAGAGAAGTTTACCAGGCATAGAAAACTAACAGCATGAAAGCTGGGAATTGTTTATTTAAGGCATCCTGGACACACTGTATTAATGTCGCCTACAGAATTCAGATTAAACCCTGAGCAACTAGTTATCCATAAAATGTAGCTCTCAAAACATTTGTATGTAGCTTTTTCGAGCACACATCCTTCAGCAACATGTGATACCTTTAAACACAAAGTATTGTTTTCATGGTGCTTAAAACAGAATTTCTGTCAGCATAACTTCTGTTTTGCCTCACAACAATTTTTTGTGTGTTCTGTATTATTTCTAAGGTCTTCAGACAAGAAAATATTTTTTAAAATTTTTAATATTGTTGTCTTTAACTCTGAAAACAAATACAAAACAATACTTTTTTCCCTCTAATTGTAAACTTGTTAAAGACTTAGTCTAAACATATTTTCACATTGACTTGGGCTAGGAATAGCCAGTTTTCAGGCAGAATTTCACACAGGTGTAACACAGTTCCATGCCACAATCCCATTCTGTATGGTTCATGTGATCTAGAATACACAATTACACCTATTCAGAAAAACGTCCAAAACTTTAAAAAACCATGGACAGGTAGCATGTGCTGGTGTTGCTTGATAACTAGCTGATTGTTAACTAGTCAATTGGCAGCTTCAAGTTAATCCATGACATCAAGCTACAAAAAAATGAGACAGCAAGTGAATACTCCAAGCATTTGTAACTGAACACTAAGTTTCAGTGTAATATGTAAGAAATATGACTGCTAGTTTGTCCAAAAAGTTTGGGGTACTTTGTTTTTATTCTTAGGTGTTAAATAGTAATTTGAGCTTTCAAGGTACAGCACATTTGGAATGAAGTTGGATTTCAAACTGAGTTCAATGGTTTTGGTCATCACCATGGAAATATGACTACTCAGGCGCAAGAAATTTCTTTGGTACTTTTATTTTTCTTTTCTCTAAGTACAGCATTGGTGACAGCTTTTCTAAATTTAGAGATGTACCTGCAACTAGAACTTTGTCTTTTCAAATCAGATCTCCCTCCACCTTCCTTTTGGCATCCTGCACAAAGATTAACCTAACCCCTCTTTGCTGAACAATGCTCTTCAAAGCAGTGCTCTCTGAAGAAAATAGTCTAATTTTGTAAAAATAGTTTATTCTAAAAATTGGCACATCAATGAAAAGATTCCCCTGAAAAGATTCTATTCTTATGTATTGTAACATCTCTAAAATGCCGAGGTTCTCAGTTATGAAGTGTATGCCACTTAGAAGGCTTCACATCTTGAGTAAAAAAAGATGCAACAAGCAAAAAGCAGCAAGATTTCAACAGATGCTAATAAAAACTTTCAGTGCTTCTGACATTAAAGAGTGGTTTAGGTTGGAAGAGACCTTTAAGATCAAGTCAAGCTTTAACCCAGCATGGCTAAAGCCAACACTAAACCATATCCCCATGTGCAATATATATACACCCTTTTAAACCCTGCACAGATGTTTACTCCATCACCTTCCTGGACAGCTTGTTCCAATGCTTTCCACCATTTCTGTGAAAAAAAACTTCCTAATATCCAAATTAACCCTCCTCTGCTACAGCCTGAGGCCGTTCCCTCTTCTCCTGTCCCTGTTCCTGGCAGCAGAGCCCGACCCCCCTGTCTGTCCCCTCCTGTCAGGAGCTGTGCAGAGCCACAAGGTCCCCCCTGAGCCTCCTTTTCTCCAGGCTGAGCCCCTTCCCAGCTCCCTCAGCCTCTCCTGGGGCTCCATTCCCTTCCCCAGGCTGAGCCCCTTCCCAGCTCCCTCAGCCTCTCCTGGGGCTCCATTCCCTTCCCCAGGCTGAGCCCCTTCCCAGCTCCCTCAGCCTCTCCTGGGGCTCCATTCCCTTCCCAGCTCCGTTCCCTTCTCTGGCCTTGTTGGTCTCTCAAGCTGTGAGGGGCCCAGAGCTGTGCTCAGGATCTGAGGTGTGGCCTCAGCAGGGCCAGCACAGGGACAGCCCTGCCCTGCTGCCACCCCACGGCTGGGCACCCTGGGCTCGTGTCCAGCTGCTGTCACAGCACCCCCAGCCCCTTTTCCAGCCCCTTTTCCCCCAGCCTGGAGCTGGGGGGTTGCTGTGACCCGAGGGCAGGACCCAGCACTGCCCCTGGGTGTCCCTCACCCCAGCGGCCTCATTCCATGGATCCAGCCTGTCCAGACCCTCTGCAGAGCCCTCCTGCCCTCCAGCAGATCCACATCCCAGCCCGGTGCTGCCAGGGACTGACCGAGGGGCCCTCGATGCCCTGACCCACACCTGTGCTGGGGGTGTTGGACAGGCCTGGCCCCAGCACCGAGCCCAGGGGAGCCCCGCTGGTGCCAGCCCCACTGGATGTCCCTCCATGTGCCACCGCTCCCGGCCCTGCCCTCGGCCAGTTCTGCCCCAGACTCGGGGCCCTGCCACGAGCAGCCGCTTTCTCCAGGAGATGCTGTGGCAGAAGGTGCCAAAGGCTCTGTGAAGTCCGGGCAGACACACCCACAGCCTTTCCCTCAGCCCTGAGCAGGTCACCTTGTCACAGGTTGGGCAGGCAGGACCTGCCTCTCCTAAAGCCAGGCTGGCTGGGCCTGATGCCCTGGCTGTCCTCTTCCTGTCCTGATGGCACTCCAGGTGACCTGTGCTCCATGGCCTCCTGGCACTGGGGCAGGGGACACGCCTGTAACTCCCTGGATCCTCTTTCTGACCATTCCTGTAGATGCATGTCACATTTGGCAACCTCCAGTTAGCTGTGACCTCCCCAGCTTGCCTGGACTGCTGGTAAACGATTGGAAGTGGCTCAGTGAGCTCTCTGCCAGCTCCCTCAGCCCCCCTGAGTGGATCCCATCCCACCACTTGGGAGTGTCCAGGTTTTCTAGCAGCTCACTAACCATTCCTTCATGGATTATGAGGGCAACATTCTACCCCATCCCTGTCTTGCAACTCAGGGTGCTGACTAAACAAGGTAAATGTACTATCCAGTATTCTTCCTAATGAAGTTTGTCTTTG